AAAAAAAACACGAAAACTAGTATAGCGGAGTTGTCGCTCTCTGTATACAAGAAAAATTGAATAGAATATAGATAGATAATACTTGAAAAACATAAATCTCTTGTTACCTACTTGCGTTCTTGCAATCAATGTACAGATTTTTGTGATGTACCAGGGAGGATTAAGCCAAGTTAAGACGTACAGTGAGCGACCGTACCTTGAGCGAATGACTCAAGCAACACTTGCAGCGACTCTTTATAGATACCATATCATTAACACTAGGCGATAAGCTTATCGCAATGCATTCACTCCCAAAAACTATCAAATAAAGGGGGAAGAAGATAAGCCGGATAAAACTTTTTGTAAAGAGTCGGTATCGCGCGCGTGGTGAAGTAAAGGGGATTATAGAAGAACGTTGACAAGATGTAATAGATGCTGCGTTCGCCAAAAGAGACAATACACGAGTAAACGACTAAAGAATCGTCGTGAACGAAAAAGAAGTCAAAACTTTGTTCATTTTAGGGCGTGCTGGATGCTGGCGGAAGTCAAAACACAATGCAAAAATCCACTAAATCTTTATGTGTATATCTGTATATTGTAAAGTGACACGTCTTTGTTTTAATAAAGTATTTATTATTAAAAAAAATAATAAACATTTGAAATATCAATATGCAAATGAAATGACGTAAATTCAAGACTAATTTATTATACAAAAATGCTGTTGTGGAAAGTACCGCTATTTTTGATTGTTTGAAAATCATCCTTTTGACTGAAATATATTGCTTTGCACACTTTTAGGTTATTTCACTTCAGAACACTTGTCGTAAATCACACTGCAAAATGTAATCCACTCTTGAATTTATGTCTTCTCATTTGCATATTGATATTTCAAATGTTTATATCTTTGAAAAGAGAAGACCACATACAAAAATACTGCAACCACACCACTACACTGTTCACATATAAGTGACTTTTAAATAAAATTTTTCCTTGATATACACTTTAAGTATATAATATTTTACTCTAACTTAACAGTACAGTGCTTACAGCTTCTTAGAAAACAGAATTAATAGAAACCTGCACAAAACGTGTGGGTGTCATGTATGTGCTTGCAAAACGTTTTCTTGAAAACAAATGTCTGTTGGAACTATGTTTTGATTGTTGCTAAATTATTTAATAATATTGGGAATTTGAAAGTGATTCTACAGAGTGGCTCTTCCACTGGATTTCAATGAGAATTTAGAAGATATCTTTCTGGAGCTACAAAAAAACTGGAGGCCTGGAGAGAAGCCCTCGAAATACAAGCCAGAACCAACAAGCAACTCTACTTACATACTATGCTGAGTTCAGGAATCAAAACAGCATATTGTTTATAACATAATGAAAAAAAGAATAATTCTTAAAGTAAATTAATAACTAAAAAGCAAAAAACAAAAGAAAACAAAAAAAGCAACATGAATTTTGAACATCATTAATATTATTACAACATATTGGTTCAATGTTCCATCAGTATGCCAAACAAATAACAACAGTTGCAGTATCATAAATAATTGATG